CCCTCCCCCTGCAGCACAGCGCCCCCAGATTTCTGGGATTCTCACCGTCTGTGATGAAGCTCATGGCTGCGATCTGAAAAAGGGGGGAAGAGCTCAGAGACCCCGAGAGGAAACGCGCCCGCCAGGGTCTGTCCGTCCGGGGCCGCGGGCATCCGTCTGTCCGCGGGTCCCCGTCTCCGCGCCCCCTGCCGGCGGGCGCAACCCCCAATTCCTGGCCCCTTCCCCCAGCCCCCCCGCTGCCCACACTCGCTGGCCCCCCTTGGGTCCTGGGCCCCATTCCCCCCCGAGCCAGCCAGTCCCTGCCCTGGGGCCGATGGGAGCCGGCACCCCCCAGAGGGGCCAGGCTCCGGGCCCCATTCCCCGCCCTGCCGGGCTCTCACCTGCCGGGCGGCGGCGTCCCCGGGGTCAGCCGTGCTCACCATGTGCACGTTGGGGGTGGAGGTGGAGCGGTGGCGCTGGAGGGGCTGCCCCCCGCCGGGGGGGTCCGGGAAGCTGAAGGCGTCGGGGTTCAGGCACTGCTGGTGGGAGCTGGTGGAGGGTGTGGGGGGGGGGCACAGGCAGACGAGAGCTGGGTCAGCACCTCCCTTCCCCTCTCTGCACCCAAGGGACAGACCTCCCGGAGTCCCTCGCTCGTGGGCAGGGGGGGCCCAGCCCCTTCCTCCTCCCCTCCTCGACCAATCCCCTCCTCCCCGAATCGGGGGCCGCAGGGTCCCGGCCGCGGTCACCCCCAGAGCTCCCCCGGGATCCCATCAGCCCTTCAGGGTCGCTGCCCCCCAGCCCGTCAACCCACCCCCTTCGCGCCCAGGCATCCAGGTTTCCACGGAAACGCATGACACCAGATTGCTTCCGGCCGCCCCGTTTACACAGCCCCTGCCCCCGGTCGCTCTGGATCGGTGACCCGGCCTCTGTGTCAGTCCCCCCCATCCCCCCACAAGCTTTGTCCCCTCCGGAAACTTCCCGGGGTGGGACTGGGGGGCGCCCGTACCTGGTGGGCTGCGGCGTTAGGGGGGCCAGGCCGGGCCGGGCCGAGGGGGAATCCTGCCCCTGCACATCGGGGTAGGGGTCGTGGCTGTAAATCCTGTGGGGGGGGGGGGGAGAGAGAGAATGTGGGGTTCAGATGCCCCTCACTCCCATCCCGCAGTCCCTGCCAGCCCAGCCCTGCCGGTGCCCCTCACTCCCGACCCACAGCCCCCTGTTCGCCCAGCCCTGGGCTCCCCCATCACACACCCAGTTGTGCTGATGTCTCCCACCATCCCCTTCCCATTAGCACCCCGGACGCCTGGGTCCCCTAGTCCCATGGCAGGCCAGGGAGGGTCCCCGTGGGCCTGCCTCCTTTGGGTACAGGGCATGGGAGGGGCAGGGAGGGCGGGGGGGGGTCACTCACGGGCAGTGGGCTGCGTCCAGGTCCACGCAGATGCTGGGCACACGGCTGCTGCATTGCTGGTGGAATTTGTAGCCGCACGTCTGGCAGCGGAAGCCGTGGAACAGGAACTTGAGGCAGAAGTCGCAGAAGGCCAGGCTGAAAAACGTCTTACGGACCTGGGGGGGACAGACGGAGAGATGGGGGGGTGAGGAGTGACAGACACCATCCAGGGAACAGCCACCAC